ATGGGTGAGTCGCGCACACACGCACACGTACACACGTACACACGTACACGCACGCGCGCCAACTACGACAAGTACGGCGCCGGCCTGCTCGCCATCACCGCGGCGTACGCGGTCGAGAAGATGGGTGAGTCGCGCACACACGCACACGTACACACGTACACACGTACACGCACGCGCGCCAACTACGACAAGTACGGCGCCGGCCTGCTCGCCATCACCGCGGCGTACGCGGTCGAGAAGATGGGTGAGTCGCGCACACACGCACACGTACACACGTACACACGTACACGCACACACGCCAACTACGACAAGTACGGCGCTGGCCTGCTCGCCATCAAGCCCCGTATACACTAGGGGACATTATGTCCCGCTACATGACGCGGAACACAATATTATGTAAAATAAAGTATAATGTATAACATATTAGAGCAAACTGTGCAGTGCCAAGACAAACACAATTGTGTTTAATTGCACGAAGAAATTATATGGTAATTAAAACTGTTACATTGTTGAAATAAATTAAAAAAAAAAAAAAAAACCCTGTGGTTCCCTTTAAGTGCGTTATCAGTCAGTATTCAAATGTAAAGAAATAACTTTTTTTCAAAAAACTTAACATTAAAAAATTTCATTTTAATTAAAAAAAAATAATTTGCAAATTGTATATGGTTTTATTACCTCTAACTGACACGAGCGTCGGTGAAGGGGTGTCTTTCACAATCCTGTTATTCTCCGGATATTACAGAGGGTACGCGTGTCCCAAGGAATGCCACAAAGCACCGTCCTGAGCCACCTGCATCCATCGAGTTCCTGCATATCTTACCAGGTCGCCACTTCATCTAGTGGGGGGCCGACCTAAACTTCGCTTACCAGTAGGAGACTGCCCCTCGATAATCTTTTTTTCCCATCGCTTGTCGGTTCTTCGAGCTATACGACCGGTCCATTACTACTTCAGCTTACTAATCCTTTGGGCTATGTCGGTTACTATGGTTCCACTGCGGATATCCTCATTTTTAACGCAGAGATCACGCAGAGAAACCCCGAGCATAGCTCTCTCAATAACTCGCTGAGCGACCTTGAGTTTCCAACAGTGAAGGACCACGTCGCAGATCCATAAGTACTCATTGGCAACATGCACTGTTGCCAGTAATGATAACAGTGACGGTTGTTCAATCTTGTGTTCAGGTTTTCAGGTGTACCTGACGACAAGATGTGTCGTGATCTCCCGAACGCTGCCCAGCCCCGATGAATCCTTCGATTGACCTCTCGGTCATCAACAACTTTGAGCGTAGTGCTCCCAACAACTACCGACATAGGTGTGACCTGGACGTTACACATGACCTTTGTTTTGTTCATGTTAATCTTAAGACCTACCCGTTGTGAGACACTATTGAGGTTCTTGAGCATAGTGCTCAGGTCCTCGAGCGATTCTGCCATAAGAACTATATTGTCCGCAATCGAATTGCCGACGATATAGTTCTTATAGGCTCATCAGGGCTGTGATGACATTTTTTGTGTGTTTGAGTGGATTCTTAGATGATTTAGATTCACAATTGGACCCGGTAGGTGGCGCTGTTGTTGAGATTCAGAAATCACCCGAGCGAAGCCGGGGCGGATCGCTAGTCGAGGATAAATGTAAGCGTTTATTATCCACAACGTCCACTTATCATCAGGTGGACTGTGTGCTCGTATGTCACCCTTATTCTATATTAAAAAAAAGTAAATACTCAAAATTGATTTTCTAGCAACACATTAACGATGTTGACACTGGAAAGTGGTTCTCTCGGTTACTAAATAGTTAAAATCAACCTTTATATAAAAAACTTGCTGACCCGTGTCTACTTTGCTGGGCGTCAAACATTTTAACTTGTGATGAAATTATCTTGTGAGGTTCTTAGTACTGAGTGTGTAGGATTTATTTTCGGAATTGATTGACAAATGTTGTTATTTCACATTAAAAAATAGTCTTAATGACAATAAAATATAGCCTATGTCACTCGGAAATAATGTAGCTTTCTACTGGTGAAAGAACTTTTAAAATCGGTTCTGTAGTTCCAGAGATTACTTTCTACAAACAAACTCAATTACAAACTTTACCTCTTTATAATATTAAGTATAGATTAAATCTTTCCATATTTAGAACATCAAAGGCCTTTTTGGCATTCCCATAGTCGCAATTAGTGTTATCTGGATTAGCACGCATGTTCGTGACATTTTTTTTATAGGATAGGGTGACAAACGAGCACACAGTCCACCTGATGGTAAGTGGTTGCTGTGGCCCATAGACATCTACATTTATCCTCGATTACGAATCAAAATGCAGATGCGTTGTCATCCGTGAGGACTAAGATGGATTGCCTCGTTTCCAGTAAAAAGGGTCTCCGTTTCTCTACACTCACCATACGAAACACAGCAGCATTAAGCAAACATTATAAATAAGTATTAACAAAAGTTAATAAAGTAAACAAAACTTAGTGTGGTGTAAATAAAACACATTAATCAGTTAACGTGAATAATGATTTTCATGGCGGTGCCGCTTTTGGCCAGCTCGAGGGCTTCTTTGATTTTGTCCATTGGGAAATGATGGGTGATAAATGATTTTAAATCTATGGCACCGCTGGAGACTGCCGCTATCGCCGGGCCGTACCTGAAATCGAAATACTCATGTTTGATATTTATTTTATCCCTAGATGGAGTAACGACCTGGTTAGAGATGGAAGTCGATGGATGCATGTAGCTTTGAACCGTACTTTGTAGGAATCTGGATACCGTTACCGTAACAGCCAACTTAAGTCCAATGCTGAACGTAGACCTCCCCCATAGACTGCCTCATAGAGGGAAGTTTGCCATAGTTGCCACGCTTAGCAAGCGGGTTGGCAACCGCAGTTTTTATTTTTAGTAGTATTTTATTCTTTGGATAATAATAATTTAAATAAAATAGGCCTATGTTTTTTTTTTATAAAACTGAAATGATAAACGAATTATAGTCAGCTTGATGGTAAGTGGCAGGGTTGGCATATTGTTTTTGTTTGCTGCATTAGTCATTTTAACCAAGTAGTCCAGCTCTATGGCTTTTGGCGCTTGTGTCTATTGTATCAATTAAATTAGTTGAGTTTGTTAACACATCTGTGACACAGACCGCGACTATCAAGTCCTGCTTGACGTTGCTCCCACCATCAATAGACAGATTAATAACTTTGTTTTTCAACTCATCTTTAACGCTTTCTTGGGTTGAGTTGTAGACTCCGTCGAGTAGATTACCAGCAATTTGTTTGTGTGTTTGCTTGTTTGGGCCTAAACTCTCCATTACTTTCAGGAACTGTGGGTGTTTATTTTATAGAATAAGGGTGACAAACGAGCACACAGTCCACCTGATGGTAAGTGGATTCTGTGGCCCATAGACATCTACATCTATCTTCGTTTGCGAATTAAAATACAGATGCGTTGTCAGCCGTGAGGACTAATATAGAATGCCTCTTTTCCAGTAAAATGGGTCTCCGGTTCAATAGCATTAAGCTGCTATTTTACATGACATTCCACGTATAGTTGTTGAGCGACAAGTTGCGCAACATGTCTCTCCTTTTGTCCCCAAGTATATCCAAGACTTAACCGCGGTGTACGCGGTGAAGTCTTGATAGATAGGTAAGTGAATCACGCACACAAACACACACGCACGCGCATCAACGTTTAAATGTTAACTCGTTTATCACTCTAATATTATAAAATGATTTAAAAAGACAACTATATTGTATAGTAACTCCTGTAAAAACACACCGTAAAGAAAAATAACCGAACTAAAAATAAATAATTCCCATTTCGATTATTAAAATTTCTTTCGAAACTTATTAAAATATGTATCTATGTACCTAACAACCTTAGATATTAAGTACTTCATAAAAAAAATTACGCAGCGCTTCGACTTTGTTTGTTGGTCTAACGGTACGTGTACACCAAAACCGATGTTGTCGGCCGATGACGGACAGAACTACCCGGACGAGTAACTCGGACGTGTATGTGCTTACACTGCAACAGTGTACCACGTTTGCCGACATTGAACGTTGCCGGTATTCTGTAGTTGACTGTGTTGCTTAACAGAGCGAAGACGCATTTTTTTAAATATCTGGAATCGCTATATCCATTTCCGGTCCAACTTTAGCCCATAACCGTTTCGGAACCTCTCGATTATTGTAATTGTCTATTATAAACACAACTAATTAATTTTTCAATATCCATAGTCGTTTAGGTAGATAACAACACTGACAAAAAGAACAGAATAAAGACAAAATGATTAAATTAAACTATAAATACACTCAATTTGCACTGTAGACGCCGGCGTCTACAGTGCAAATTGAGTGTAATCCGGCAATCTGGCGAGAAATCCCAACAAGTTCGGACTCAACGGTTGATCGGCCGATTTCGTGCGTCATCGGACGATGACGGTCGTGTTTATGTACGCACTCTCTTTTACAAGTGTTTGATTCGATCTTCCGAGTTCGGCCGTCATCGCCCGAGCAAACTTCGGCCGTCGACGGATTAGGTGTACGCGGACCCTAAGAGTAACCGAGAGCCGTGGTAGCTCAGATGGTTAGCGCTCGCTGTAAATTTCACAGTACGCGAACAACCCGGGTTCGATCCCCGCCGTTGTTAATTGCAATTTTCTGTGATTTACCATGTGCTCGGTGGTGAAGGAAACATCGTGAGGAAATCTCCATGTCTGAGAGGTAAAAAAAGGAAAAAAATTCGAAGACCTGTGAAGTTCGCCAACACGCATTGGGGCAGCGCGGCGGACATTTACTTGCCCTAAATCCCTCTTAGAAATGAGAGCAGGCCTGTACCCAGCAGTAGGACGTGTATATAGGCTGTAACTTTGACGTTAAGATTAACCCAAAGATCCACTATTACTGTTATTCATATAAAATATGAATTCGTGCAATCTTTTTGACATTTCCTGTAGATTCTATAAACTATTTTAAAGCAATAACAAATATTTTTAAAACTTGCAGGCTTACTGATGCAATACCAAGATGAACTCGAAGCTGAGAAGAAGAAAGAGAACGACTTCGACGAAGATGAAGATTCGGAAACGGACTGGAGCCACGTGGCTCGTAGTGCGCAGTCCGACTGCAGTCCTGCGTCGCGCACGCGTGCCAGCAACTTCCGTGGAAATAACTACCGACAAAGGGGCGGAGTTCGGAAGAGGTAAGTCTAGGATTAAAAAGTAACAAAACAAAATATATAAATATAGTTCAACAACATACGAATACCAATGTGCTTTTAAATGGGGAGGAGTTAAGTCTTGTGGTTACCACTGGTTTTTTTTTCGAGTTACTATTGATGTGAATATCCAATGGTACCCTATATTACTGCTAGATAGATTGTATGATATATCAGCAATTGCATACCTTCGGTGGCTTTGAAAAAAGCCGTTTGGGTTTGCTGGAGCGAAAGAAAAAGATATTTATATACAATACAATACATGAACAAAGTAACGTACAAACAAAAAATGTACAAAATTAAAAAAAAGATATTAATATTCTAAATCGAATCGTCTCTCTTTCTTAAGGAAAGATTTGATTAGGTCAGCGTAAAATGTTGGTGAACGTTTTAATTGTACCAATAACTGTTTATGTGGATATGAGCTGTTTCTCACCAAAGTTTAAAGATTTTACCTTCTCGCCGATTAGCACTTTAACACACTTCAATTCGTCACAAGGAACACTATTATCCTCCAATTTCACTAAAAATCTTTAAAAAAGCATAAATTTTCAGCTCTCAATATTCATTGGCTCAAGTAAACACACAAAGTAAACTTTGAAATGTGAAGTGAAGTTGCAAACGTATCGCCCGCGCGCCCCTGCGCTCGACTAACTTCACACAAAAAGCCCAGCTTATGGCTCCATACTAATTGCTATATAAACAATCGTAGTTATATTTCATTATAGAACATTTTGCCACAGGTTAGAAAGGGAACGATCGTCTTTTCGAAAGCCCTGTAAAAAGTCCGGTAAAAGGTGCGAGTGCGATAGAGACGAGTAATCGCTCAACTCAACTCCTTTTTTACGACAGTAGTACCGCGCAGTAAAGCAATCTGCTAAGTGTTGACGTTACATAATAAGGCTACGAGGTCATGACCTGTGTACAACAGAAGCGAGAGAACACGCGAGAAATTCGAAATAGTTTGAAACAGTTTCCGAGTTATTTTATTAGTTGATATTACTGATTGAGCAATTTGATAGGGCAAGCCCGCCTTCTAGGCTTCTATGGAGGCTTCGCTACCGGTCATATGGAGTTTTACTGTGTGTTACCGCGACTGACATTGAAACCATATTTGTTTTGCATAATTCATAATTAAAAATTTTGTACAACCGACTTCAGTATAAATTATTAAGGATAACTCAAAAACTATTGGTCAGACCTTGTTCAAATTTTTTATATAGGATCGCATGAGAAGCACCAGCTTTCAGATAAAAAAAGAATCATTGAAATCGGTTCACCTAGATAAAATTTATGAGGTAACATACATGAAAAAACAAACAGTCGAATTGAGTAGGTACCTCCTCCGTTTTGAAGTCGGCATAAAAGATTCCTCAGAGAAAAATTTTAATAATTAAATATATTAATGTTATCATATATATTTTTGAAAATGTAATGTACTTGTATGTACATAAAATCATGAAAATGCTTTAATAAGAACAAAAATGTTCATACTTTAAATGCTAGGAACAAACACAAGCTTGTAATGCTCTGTTTTCAGTCTTCGAAGAAAAAGAAAGGTTGGGGAACAGGGGAAAAGAATTTCAGAGAATGTATAAATACCAAAATTTTATTTTGAAAAATGTGTGTTACAATATTTTACAAAAGATTTGTCTCTTAAATAAGACTAAAAAATTATTACAGTGCATTTTGTCAAGTCAAGACTCTTAATGAGATTATGAGGCTGAACTCACTAATAATAATAATTAATTTGACATACATATATATATATCTCCGCTCATGTCTTGCTGTTCCATAGGACTATGAGAGTGAGGGAATAGAGTGTACCTGTGGTTGCGTATACACTTGTGAGATGGCTAGTATTCGTTAAAACTGTTCGCTGTGACCGAAATTCGGTTAAGAGCACTTTATATGTTATATTATAGATCTAGAAACTTTGATAGTGTGCTTTTAGGCTTTGATTGTTTTTCGGTGCGTATACGTTATTATAGCGCGACGACAGTGCCGCTACAAATTAATAACTTTATAATATCCGTAAGTTGTAGCTGCGGTCGAAATCAACGGGACGATATCTGGTTGCTACTGCGTTTTGAACTGAAAACTTCTTTAGAATCGTTGTGATTCGAAACTCGACGAAATGAACTCGATAAAACGACACTAAAAAGAGACAAATATATACATCTATAGAATGAGATAGAATACAGTGCTTCCTATTATGTCTCCTTTTCTGAAGGTTTAACTTCTACCGTGTGTGAACTGCACACATATGTTTTTGTCCAGGTTTAAACGCAAGGGCGCATCGGCTGCGAAGAAGAAAGCGGCCCGGGGAGCGTATGCAGCCCGCGGAGGTGCCGGTACGATGTTTATATTACACTAATAGTGGTTCATATATTATATTTTCGTATATGACCCGCCAACAGTCCAAAAAGTACTTGAAAAAGAAATTTTATGAGACACGGGCTACACCGTCAATTTGTACAAAGTTATTAAACGTCAAACATGTCACTAATGTAAAGAGTCAATTGACTTTTTATGCTTTATAAAGGTACTCTCTATATACTTATTTTATTCTATAATATATTTATATATTTATTCTCAGTGTTCAGCAACTCTATGAGGTCATCTATTAGAAATTAACTACTAAATCAAATATAATTAAAACCTTCGGTATTTAACAAAAATATAAAAACGACATGTTTAAAATGGTTAATATCTATCGAATCGCTATTACCCTGTCAGACATGAGAGTAAGCCTGAGCCCAGCAGTGAAATGTAAATTTGGTATAACTTTAATTTACTGACAAGTGTCTACTACCATGTTGTCATCTCCATGTTTTTCATCATCATAGTCATCTTCACCGTTTTGAAATCTGACAGGCAACAAGCTAGGCAGCATGCCAGTCCCTCGTACCAACACGGCCGCCCTCAACACGCGGCCCGGCGTCTTCAAGAACTCCAAGCTGAACCTCATGTGATTGATAATAATACCACCGATCTATTTTAATTACTATATTTAATCATTGAATTAAAATGTACTACATACTAGAACAGACACCGCGAACAAAATATGCGCGGCGGAAGGAGCCACAGAGTACCTTTTTGTGGCGCAGAGTAAGTAAGTTTGAGCTATTATTATGCTCCTTAAATTCTTAAATTCTTATATATATATCAATAGCGCCTGACAATTTATATTCTAAAATTAAAATACACTACAACGCATGCTGTTGTAGAAAAAAAGTAAATGTAAGGATTAAGGTCCAGTTTAAAAAAATCGCATGTTCAAATGACCGCGGGTTCTAACTTGCAACACGAGTAACAACAATTAGACATGTGTCATTCATTCATTTCTTGTGACCAGATCATTTAAGTATTGAATAGTCTTACAGACCTGGTCATTCAGATCGATTATTCAAATAGATAATTTCGAGTTTCAGCACATTACTAATACTGTCCTGTCCAATCGTGTGATCCGGAACGTAAAAAAAAGGTAATTGCAATCATCAACACTGATGCGACCCGGGTCAAATGAACGAATCCTTCACAGACACATCAACCAAGTCTCGGCGTCTCCTCTAGTACGTATACATACTATTTCCATGTATTTAATATTTAATTTAATTAATGAGATGTGATAATCGAATTTATAGTTAATGATTTGATGTTATAATGTAAATAAATTATTTCCTTACAACTTTTTGCGTCTTTTTTGCTTGTATGAATGAATTAATGATAACAGAAAAAAAGCAGATTATATATACAATTTGGCGTCCTTATAGCATACATAGCGATCTCTTCCAGGCAACCAAAGGTGTAAAGTTATAAAACAATGAATACTATGTAGGTGGTGCAATATAAATACACATAATATAATATCAATACATGTGATATACAACGTGTAACAAAAATGTAAATGTAAAGATATACCTTTTTTTTCAAAAAACTTGAACATTAAAAAATTTCATTTTAATTAAAAAAAATAATTTGCAAATTGTATGTGGTTTTATTACCTCTAACTGACACGAGCGTCGGTGAAGGGGGTCTTTCACAATCCTGTTATCTCCGGATATTAAAGGGGTACGCGTCCCCCAAGGAATGCCACAAAGCACCGTCCTGAGCCACCTGCATCCATCGAGTTATATATCTTACCAGGTCGCTACTCCATCTAGTGGGGGCCGACCTAAACTTCGCTTACCAGTAGGAGACTGCCCCTCGATAATCTTTTTTTCACATCGCTTGTCGGTTCTTCGAGCTATATGACCGGTCCATTGCTACTTCAGCTTACTAATCCTTTGGGCTATATCGGTTACTATGGTTCTACTGTGGATATCCTCATTTTTAAGTCTATCACGCAGAGAAAGCCCGAGCATAGCTCTCTCAATAACTCGCTGAGCGACCTTGAGTTTCCAACAGTGAAGGACCACGTCGCAGATCCATAAGTAATCATTAGCAACATGCACTGTTGCCAGTAATGGTAACAGTGATGGTTGTTCAATCTTGTGTTCAGGTTTTCAGGTGTACCTGACGACAAAGATGTGTCGTGATCTCCCGAACGCTGCCCAGCCCCGATGAATCCTTCGATTGACCTCTCGGTCATCAACAACTTTGAGCGTAGTGCTCCCAACAACTACCGACATAGGTGTGACATGGACGTTACACATGACCTTTGTTTTGTTCATGTTAATCTTAAGACCTACCCGTTGAGAGACACTATTGAGGTTCTTGAGAATAGTGCTCAGGTCCTCGAGCGATTCTGCCATATGAACTATATTGTCCGCAATCGAATTGCCTACTTTGCCGAATTGTGTTTGAGTGGATCCCTAGATGATTTAGATTCACAATTGGACCCGGTAGGTGGCGTTGTTGTTGAGATTCAGAAATCATCCGAGCGAAGCCGGGGCGGATCGCTAGTCGAGGATAAATGTAAGCGTTTATGATCCACAACGTCCACTTATCATCAGGTGGACTGTGTGCTCGTATGTCACCCTTATTCTATATAAAAAAAAGTAAATACTCAAAATTGATTTTCTAGCAACACATTAACGATGTTGACACTGGAAAGTGGTTCTCTCGGTTACTAAATAGTTAAAATCAACCTTTATGTAAAAAACTTGCTGACCCGTGCCTACTTTGCTGGGCGTCAAACATTTTTACTTGTGATGAAATTATCTTGTGTGGTTCTTAGTACTGAGTGTTTAGGATTTATTTTCGGAATTGATTGACAAATGTTGTTATTTCATATTAAAAAATAATATTAATGACAGTAAAATATAGCCTATGTCACTCGGAAATAATGTAGCTTTCTACTGGTGAAAGAACTTTTAAAATCGGTTCTGTAGTTCTAGAGATTACTTTCTACAAACAAACTCAATTACAAACTTTACCTCTTTATAATATTAAGTATAGATTAAATCTTTCTATATTTAGAACATCAAAGGCCTTTTTGGTATTCCCATAGTCGCAATTAGTGTTATCTGGTGTAGCACGCATGTTCGTGACATCTTTTTTTATAGGATAAGGGTGACAAACGAGCACACAGTCCACCTGATGGTAAGTGGTTGCTGTGGCCATAGACATCTACTTTTATCCTCGATTACGAATCAAAATACAGATGCGTTGTCACCCGTGAGGACTAAGATGGATTGCCTCCTTTCCAGTAAAAAGGGTCTCCGGTTCTCTACACTCACCATACGAAACACAGCAGCATTAAGCAAACATACGTGGTGTAAATAAAACACATTAATCAGTTAACGTGAATAATGATTTTCATGGCGGCGCCGCTTTTGGCCAGCTCGAGGGCTTCTTTGATTTTGTCCATTGGGAAATGATGGGTGATAAATGATTTTAAATCTATGGCACCGCTGGAGACTGCCGCTATCGCCGGGCCGTACCTGAAATCGAAATACTCATGTTTAATATTTATTTTATCCCTAGATGGAGTAACGACCTGGTTAGAGATGGAGGAAGTCGATGGATGCATGTAGCTTAGAACCGTACTTTGTAGGAATCTGGATACCGTTACCGTAACAGCCAACTTAAGTCCACTGCTGAACGTAGGCCTCCCCCATAGATTGCCTCACAAAGGGAAGTTTGCCATAGTTGCCACGCTTAGCAAGTGGGTTGGCAACCGCAGTTTTTATTTTTAGTAGTATTTTATTCTTTGGATAATAATAATATAACAAAATAGGCCTATGTTTTTTTTTTATAAAACTGAAATGATAAACGAATTATAGTCAGCTTGATGGTAAGTGGCAGGGTTGGCATATTGTTTTTGTTTGCTGCAGTAGTAATTTTAACCAAGTAGTCCAGCTCTATGGCTTTCGGCGCCTGTGTCTATTGTATCAATTAAATGAGTTGAGTTTGTTAACACATTTCTGTGACACAGACCGAGACTATCAAGTCCTGCCTGACGTTGCTCCCACCATCAATAGACAGATTAATAACTTGGTTTTTCAACTCATCTTTAACGCTTTCTTGGCTTGAGTTGTAGACTCCGTCGAGTTCCAGCAATTTGTTTGCTTGTTTGTGTGTTTGCTTGTTTGGGCCTAAACTCTCCATTAATTTCAGGAACTGTGGGTGTTTATTTTATAGAATAAGGATGACAAACGAGCACACAGTCCACCTGATGGTAAGTGGATTCTGTGGCCCATAGACATTCACATTTATCCTCGATTAAGAATCAAAATGCAGATGCGTTGTCAACCCTGAGAACTAAGATGGAATGCCTCGTTTCCATTAAAAAGGGTCTCCGGTTCTCTACACTCACCATACGAAATACACCAGCATGAAGCTGCTATTTTGCGGCGGTATTCTGTGAGAGCGTGGTCCCACTCCGGTCGAGCCGCCCCATTCGTGCTACAACCATAATATAGCTGCAGCATGGCTCTACCACATACATATGTGTGTATAATATATTCTACGTCAAAGGTGTAAAAGGTGTGTTGGTAGCAATCATGTAACGAGATAATTGTAAATAAATTTTCTTCTTATCCTCTTGACTTGTAGTAATAGTATTTTTTTTCATTGAAACGTTCACGCTCGCGCTGCTGTTGCAAGCACTGGTACTTTTAGATTGAAGAGTAGTAGAGTAACAGAAACCGATCTGGTAGAAGTACTATCTGAAGATCGGGAAGGACCAGCATCGCTCAACAATCACCACACAGTCCTCGTCCGCGTCAAGATCTGCATCAGTGTGAGTACCGGTGCTACATTTCTGGAAGTGTGCCTGCATTCTTTTTACAAGTCGAACAAGTTCTTTCTTACATTTTCTGCAAGGCACTGATTAGTCTTCAGTGTGGTATTTTCTTGTGGAATCGATATGAATTGTTCCCAAACTGCATGCTTTTTTTCGTCCTGGAGTTCACATTTTTATGAGCTGTAAACTTATCAGTCACAAAATCAATAAATAAATGAAATATTTAAAAAAAAACTCGTATTTATACACTTCATAGGTAATAACCCGCTGATAAATTCTAGCTGGAAATGTCACTGTGTCGATCGTCGTCGAAAGAAAGTAACTCACTGGATTAGTGGGTGGGTATTCCTTAATTTAAATATAGGGGGATTATATAGACTATAAAGAATGAACATGATGTATGTAAAGCGTTCAGTATTGATTAGAGATACACAACAAAAAATTCGATTGATCGATTTTTGTAAATGTTTACTAAATAAGGCGAATTTAAAAATATTCTAGAAATTAATTGATTAGGTACTTAATTGATTTTAAATTGATGACAAAAAGGAAAAGAAAAACATGAAAAACAAAAAAACATTTTGTACTGTTTGGTTTATGAAATTAAAAAAATATGTTTTTTTTCCAACCCTGGTAAGTAGCAATTGCCCATGGGCACCTGCATAACAGTAATTATACTGGCTCTTTTTACTATCAGACCGTACTGGTCTGATAGTAAAACATAGATAAAACAGTGGAAGCACCGCTATTTGGCGGCACAAATATGTGAGAGGCTTGTACCTA